AAGGCGGCTGGTGAGCAGAAACTGCCGAGGGCCCCCCCACCCTCGCTGTGCCAGGCAGGCAGTGCCAAATCCGGGGAGCCCGGAGCTGGGGGGAGGGCCGGGGACAGCCCGGCCCTGCCCCCTCCCCCACGGGGTGCCCAGCAACTTCTGAGGAAAGTTTGGCGTCAATGTCGTGGTGGTGCCCCAGGATGGGCAGAATCCCGCTGGCCTGGTGCTTGGCGCTGTGCTGCTGGGGGTGCATGGCCCCCAAAGGTGAGCGGTGGGGACTCCTTGGGGCAGGGCTACCCTGGGAGGCAGGAGGGAGAGGAGGTGGGGGATGGATGGCAGGTGTTGGGGGGAGCTTGGGCTGCCTTAGGGAGTTTCCTCGGGACAACAGAAAGGGGACTTCAGAGAGGGACACCCAGAGACTTGGAGACTTACCAAGAAGGGCAGAGGGAGAGAAAGAGGCTGACAGAGGAACAGGAGGGAAAGAAACAGAAACCAGGAGGGCCAGAGACGGAAGAGATGGACATCGAGAGACAGACCAGGAGGAGCTGAGGGAGGAGTGGGGGCTGGACTTGAGAAGTGACCCCGGGGAAAGGGGCTGAGACCAGGCAGTGGGATGAGGAGGGCTCTGGAGCCGGAGGGGAAAACCCTCATCACTGTCAATCCCCATACTTGTCCCACCACTGTCTGCTCCATTCCTGGGGATAGGAGAAGAATCTCTGACTGTCTCTGCCTCCAGCTCTGTGCCATCTCTTCGGGTCTCCGTTTCTCTCTCCCTCCCAGTCTCTATCTTTATCTCTCCTTATTCTCTAAGTCAGTCAGTCTCTCTATCTGTCTGTCTGTCTGTCTGTCTGTCTATCTATCTATCTATCTATCTATCTATCTCGCTATCTCTTTCTCTCCTGCTGTCTTCCACTCCCTCTGAGACTCTATCCCCCCACCCCACCCCCATCTCTCCCCTCTTGATCTCTCTTTGACTTTTTCTCAGTCTGTCTCTGTGTCTCTGTTCCTCTCTGTCCCTGTCTTCCCATGCCTGACTTTCTCTGGTTTCTCTGGACCTCTCTCTCTCTCCCTTTCTCCCCTGCTCCTCCTCCTCTCTCCCTCTCTCTCCTTCTCCTCCCTCTCCCTCTGTTTCTCTCTCTCCCTCTCTTTCCTTCTCTCCCTCTCTCTCTTCCTCTCTCCTTCTCTTCCCTTCTCTCCTCCTCTCTCTCACTCTCTCTTCTTCTCTCCTCCTCACTTTCCCTCTCTCCTTCTCTCCTCCTCTTCCTCTCTCTCTTTTCTCCCATCTCCCTCCGCAGCCTGTTTCTTCCCCCTCCGTCCATCAACACCAGCACAATCTTTAAGTCTCTAGAGACCTAAGAGAAGACCAAGGGGGCAGGCACTGGCCCTGCCAGGCAATCCAGAGCGTGGGAGGCTGCCAGATCTCAGGCCTCCTTCCCTATGGGATGAACGCTGGACCCTAGTCCCCTGGGAAGGTTCCCATCCTCCCCTCAAAGCCTCCACCCGGCTCTGAGGTCACTCTACACGATGTGGGCCTAAGGACCTGGCGGGTTCCTGGCAGCCGGTGGGCAGGCAGGGACAGGGTGGGACTAAGAAGCAGAAAGAGCTGGGGGTTCCTGAGCTAACTCCTCCTGTCTCCCCCACAGGCACACAGGCGGAAGCAGACCCCTTTGTGGCAAGCCCAGGGAACATCACAGGTGCCCGGGGACTCATGGGAACCCTTCAGTGTGAGCTCCAAGTTCAAGGAGAGCCCCCCGAGGTGACCTGGCTTCGGGACAGACAGATCTTAGAGCTGGCGGAGAGCACTCAGACCCAGGTGCCCCTGGGCGAAGACGGGGAGGACGACTGGAAAGTAGTCAGCCAACTCAGGTGTCCAGCCATATCCCTACACCCCTCCCACCTCCATCACATACAGGGTGGGTGAAAAGACACAGAGGGGAACCCGACCTGGGTAGGTACCCCATCTTGACCACTTGCTGGCTGTGTGGCTTTGAGCATGTGACGTAACCTCAGGGTTTCACTTTCCTCTTCTGTAAAATGAGTTAATAATAGTACCTTTAAAAAAGTACCTACTTCATAGTTCTTAAGAGCTTCCAGTCCAGACGCCCCCCTTTCAGTTCTGATGACCCCCACCCCCAGTGTCCAGCTCTCACCCCAAACCTCTCTGTCCCTCCTTTTGCCCTGTCAGAATCTTCTCCCTACAACTTTCAGACGTGGGGCAGTACCAGTGTATGATTGTCCTAGGAGGACAGACCTTCGTGTCCCAGCCTGGCTACGTTGGGCTAGAGGGTGAGCTCTGGGGTCAGAGGTCCTGAGGAGTCCGAGGATGTGGGGAGTTCATAGGCTGTGGGAGGGCAGGAATCTTGAGGGGTCAGAGGGTGCTGGAGGATTTGGGTGACCCCACGGGCCATATAACCTAGGAATGCCAGAAATTTTGAGTATCTGGAAGCTGGGAGTTCATAAGTCATAAGGGGAAAACATCTGGGGTGGGGGTTACATGTCCTGGGGAGAAGACATCTTAGGGGTAGTCGGTTGTCCTAGGTGTCAGATGTGCTCAGGGTAGGACATTCTGGGGATCAGATGGAGGATTGGAAGCATGCAACTTACCTCTCTCTCCAACCCCCAGGGACCTCACTTTCTATAAAATGAGATAAGGAGTCAGACATTCCGGAAAAGAGACCGGAGAAGCTCAGATGTCTTGGGGGTTAAACATAGGGGGAATCAGATATTGGGATCATGTGTTTTGGGGATAGAGACCTGAGGGGGCAGACATCTGAAGGGGACTTGGGTGTCCTGGAGGATCAAACACAAAGGTTGGGGGGGTGGTCACAGGCCCTGAAGGGTGGGTCTAGTGTCCAAACCCCCCAGGTCAGACAACTGGAAGGCTCAGCAGGACCCCAGCCTCTACCACTGCCTCCCCCAGGCCTGCCTTACTTCTTGGAGGAGCCTGAGGACAGGACTGTGGCTGCCAACACCCCCTTTAACCTAACCTGTCAAGCCCAAGGACCCCCAGAACCTGTTGACCTACTCTGGCTCCAGGATGCTGTACCCCTGGCCACAGCCCCGGGCCAAGGCCCCCAGCACAGCCTGTATGTTCCAGGTAAGTCCAGAACTGTGGGTCTATGCAGCAGAGAGGGTCTAGAAGGCAGGCAGGGTAGAAGTGGGGAGCCAGGGAGCCCGCGCTTCCTCTGAGTGCGTGCCTGCCAGTCCCTCTGTCCTTCACTGTGTGTTTCTTTCTGAGTTATCTCTCTGCTTCTGTCTCTGCCTCTCTGTCCCTATCTGTCTCATTTCTCTCTGTACCACCTTTTCTGTCTCTGTTCTCCATCTCCCTGTTTCTCCATCTTTTCCTGTTTCTCAGTGTGTGTGTGTCTGTCTTTCCATCTCTCTCTGTGTCTCTCTGCCCCTCTCACTCCCTCCATTCACCCTAGTCTCTCTCTGAATAGAATTCTTTGTCCTGGGCTTCCTCTGAGCTGTTCCATGGCCCGAATGTGTGTGGGCCTGGTGCCCCTTTGTCAGCCCTTGACCCAAGCAGGGCACCGGAATCAACCGTGCCCACCTCCCCTCGCCCTCCCTCCACGGCCTGTCCACCTCCAGCTGAAGAGCCCTGTTAGCCCTGGTCAAATGGCCCAGGGCCTCCCTGGGGACAGAGCCCAAAAACGAGAGTGAGAGAAAGTGGGAGACAGAGAAAGATGGTTACAGAGAGAAACAGAACCAGATACACAGGAAGGAACAGGACACAGAGGTCACTCGAGATGGAGAAAGATAGGACAGGGAAGTCCGAGCAATAGAAACTCTCTCCTTCAGGGTGACCCTCTGCTTCTGCACCACACAGTCAATACAGGAGCTAGTTTAGGGTCACATAGTGGCCAGAGGTGGAGCTGGGGAGAACTCAGATAAGGGGCTCCCACTTTTCAAGGGAGGAGAGACAGGAGCACAGAGGAAGGAGAGTCCATCAGGGGAAGAGGCTGGTCCCTGAAAGGGTATCAGCTTCTCACACCCCCAACCTGCTGCCTCCCTCTGCTGGGACAAGGAGGGGCCTCCTGGCTGCGGGGGGTGGAGAGGGGGTGGGGGGTTCTAGAGGCAGAGGGAGGTGTCCACATTCCAGCATTCCGGGGGCTCTGAGTTGCAAGGAAGCAGTGGTGAACATGCTGGCCCCCAGAGGAGTGACTCAGGCCTATGGCTCTAGTGGCTGGGTAGGGACCAGGGACAGGGATGGGGCCTGAGTCAGCCTGGCAGAGCCCAGGGAGGTGGAAAGGGGAGGACAGTCCCCCTCATCCCAAGGAAATGAGGGCTGTGCAAGTGTGAGGGTCTGTGTGTGCTTTGGGGGGTGTGTATACCCATGTCCTTCTGAATCTGTGTGTCAGTTCATTTGTCAGCAACAACCTCTCTGTACGAAGGTGTGCCTTACTGAGGGGTGCTTCTGTGTGTGTGTGTGTGAGAGAGAGAGAGAGACTATATTTGTCAGCTTCGGTGTCTGTCCCACTGTATGTTCAGGTCTTTATGGCATGTCTCTATAAGTTTCTCAGGGCTGTGTGTGTGTGTGTGTGTGTGTGTGTGTGTGTTTAGCAGTCTGTGTGTCCCTATTTGTATTTGTGTGTTCACAGCTAAGACTCACAGTATGAGAGTGGATTGTGCATGGGGGAGATGGTAGTGTGTTTTGTAGCTATTTGCCCACCTCTCTGTATAGAGATGACAGTGTCAGCTCACAGAAATGCACCTATAGGTGTGTGTCCTGGGGTAGACTTGTGTTTCCTTGTGTAATCAGGATGTGTCAATAGATACTTCGGTGTGTTTCTTATTTTTTTTCTTTTTGAGTTGGAGTCTCACTCTGTCACCCAGGCTGAAGCACAGTGGCATGCTCCCAGCCACCGCAGTCTTGACCTGCTGGGCTCAGGCAATCCTTCTGCCTCAGCTTTCCAAGTAGCTGGAACTACAGGTGCGCGCTACCACGCCCAGCTAATTTTTTATTTATTATAGAGACAAGGTCTCACCAAGTTGCCCATGCTGGTCTCAAACCTGTGGGCTCAGGCAATCCAAAGTGCAGGGATTACCAGCTGAGTCATTGAGCCCAGCCTGGTGTGTTTCTTATCGGACATCTGTGTGTATGTGTGTGTGTCCACGGATGTCTCTATGAATACGTCACAAGATAAGTATGTTGGTATATGACTCTGTGTGTGTGTCATTCACAGCAGGACAGTAACAACACCCTCTGCTTCTATCTGGTCTCCCTGTGTGTGAGTTAGCCCCAGCTGCCTCTGGGTAGATGGACATAGTGTGCTTACCAGTCACTGTGTAGGTGTGTGTCTGTGCCAACCTATGTGTACGTGGCAGTGTCTCCATCCTTGCATGTCCACAGCAGGCCTGAGTGTCTATGAATGAGGCACTTGCTAAGTGTGTTTTTGTATCCGTCTTCATCTCAGTGAATGTGAAGCCACCTGAGTGCGTCCAACTGTGTTCTGGCGCAGACGAAGGCTGCTCGGCTGTCTGTTTGTGTGCACCGATATATCTGTGCGTGAGCAACTCTACATGAACCTTCACTGTCTCTTGGTGTGTATCTGTTTGTCCACTTCGACCTCAATGTGTGTGTGTTGCTTGGTGTGTACATCTCCACATGTAGGGAAGTCTGGGTTTCTGTGGGTGTCAGTGCCAGCCTGGATGGATATTACAGTGCCAGGTGTCTATAATCCATGTGCACATATGTGATTGTGTGTTTATGTGCTTGTCCCAACATCAGCGCATGTGTGTATGTGTGTGTCTCTTTACGTACGTGCGCCCACAGCAGGCCCTGTGTGTACAGCGTACGTCACTGGGTACTTGTGTGACTGTGTTTGTGGCATCAGCCAGCCCTCGTGTATATGTGTAGCTTAGCGAGTGCTGTATTCTCTGTGTATCTGTGCCAATAACGGCCCCTGTGTATTTTAGTGTGACTCATGGTGGGGGGGTGGTGTGCTTGGGTGAAGGAATTTTGTCCGTTTGTGTGCGCCTGTCCCTCTATCTGACTCAGGGCGTGCCCCCCTCCTTCCATCCCTCTTCTTCCCTTGGAAAAGCCTGGGGGGAGGGGACGGGGCGGGGGAGCAGTACATCTGGAAAGCACATCTGGAGTCCGCCTGCTTCTGTCCTGCCGAGGTGGAGGATAGCCCGCTGGAGGGGAAGGGGGTTCCAGGCCCATTCGTCCCGTCCGTGTCCCACTTTCTCAAGGTGCCGCCGCCGCTGGGGCCTGGGAAGGGGGAT